AACAGTATCTACTTTCGAAAGGCATATCTGTTCCAGATTTTTAGATTTATATTAGGCTAGATATTTGTCTCATATTACTTTCTAAAGTCATTTAGTTTCGGGAATATAATTAGTAATCTTGTTTTTCCCAAAGGGCACTTCCGACACTAATAAGTTCTATCGAAGGTATCAAGACCAAGATGGTGTAGATGGAATAGGTGCGTTCCTCTAAGTCTTCTTACCAATATGACCATGTTGCGAAAACAAGATAAATAACCACTAATAAGTTATACTAATGCTTAAGTTTTAAAACCACCTGTAAATATTTTCTCCACGTCTTTTTTATCTTCTTTAGGGCGGACTTAAATCAATTTAATCATTTTAATGCCTGATTTTATGGTGTTGCCTTTTATAAATCTCGACTTCACTTTTCACTAGCATGTAGGAAAAGTGTGGGATCTCCACCAAATCACGATATATCTAATTTAGTGAGTCCAGCCAAACTATAAAAAAGTAGGCAGGATTGCAGCCAGCCACCTTTCTTGTCCTTGTGCTTGGTGAATTATCGTAAAGCATGGTATCCTGCTCTGACGATGTCCTTCACGTGACGGTCGAAAACTCAGCAAGGATCAATTGGAGTCACGGCCGTGCGCTGATGGCCATTCGAAAATTCTTTAATCCAAGTTCCACAGCAATCCTACTACAGCTTTCGGGGAGGCAAACTTGCGAATCCATTCCATTCGTCTCTTTAAACTACATCATCAGTGTGTTTTTATTGGCATAGGCAAATCTACTAGTTGCTTTTCATAATATAAAGGTCGATATTTAATTAAAGGCAATATCATAAGGCATTCGTCAGTTCTAATTAAATTACTTTTAGATCGCATCGTTCAGTATCAGCCATAAGACTTCTTATTCACTGATCAATTTATTTGCTAGTCTTGATGGATTGCCTCTCTCGTTCGCATACTTTTTTGTTGCCATTGGTAAATGAATATAACTCCTCATAAAGATTATAGGATCCTAAGGGTGACATTTTTAGCGGGAATCTGCTATTATTATATCACCTTTTATTTTATAACTGCATTTTTCATCAGTAGATAGCCCATTAAACTCTACCTATCACTCGATTCATATGGCTGTTCCTACATTTTGTTTTCATTAGTTATTATCTTGAAGCATGAATTCTCACTTATTTTCATTTGCAGAAAGGCCAATCGTCTTCCCAAAGAGCTGTTTCTCTCGCTGCTGATTCCATCACCGATCCACAAGCTGGTAAGTAAGCTGCCGTTTGCCCCATTATAATTCATTCACTGATTTTGGAGGGCTATTTCCGGTACTTTATTTATATCAGCCTTAATTACCATTGCTTAAAAGTAGTGGCTGAGCAGAGATGAGAGCTCTTCTTTCTTAGTTGCGGTTATTATTATTTAACCAGACTGGTATGCATGTTAAAAAATTGTTACAATACATTATACTCTTATTATACACATTTCCTGCCTTCTTATGTTCATATTGGTGCAGATTCTCCTTCCTTCATTGCAATTTTTTCTTATTACTGCTTTAATGAGCCCATAGCTTATTCATATGTGATACGTTTTTTTGCCTATTTACCTGGCTCCACTGATTCTTATTACTCCCGTTTAGTTTGTAACTCGGATTTTCGGCATTATTGAAAACTCTGAGCCACACTTATCTCTACTCCAGGGATGTTCATAGCTATCAATTATAATTGACCATTTAGTCAAGCCTTCCTGTTCGTTGTGTTTCCTTTATATTTTCTTTTATTCCCCTCTGTCATATCTTACTTCTTTGATGCGAACATCTCTTTTACCTCCTCATTATTATGTCACTCCGTGGGAACTTTCGATCCTATTATTTTGCTTCCTTTCTGTTTAGTGAAATTTACCTCTTATTTTCCAGCGCTCTTCTTTTTCTTCCTAATATCGTCTGGACATCGTTGAACTTTACAAACCTTTCATATATCATGTGTGGACAAAATAGACCTCAGTGATAAATACACAGCCTGTAATTAAGTTAGTTATCTCTGATTTTCTTGCTCTTATTGAGCCAATATTTAGCAGACGTACGAACAAAGGCATTCTAAAACGCAATCTCGTAAGTCCTAGCAAGGGAAGACTAGTCCACCTGCTTCTTGTCTAATGGTTGAAAATATAAAGTATAAGTAAGATTAAGTAGCTTTTATCTTTTGTTTCGCCCCCATATTACATTTCTAAGTGTTTTCTTAATATTACGAGGGTATGCGCAAAGATTTACGTTATTTTTCCCCCTTAAAAATAAACTTTGCATCAGCCTCTAGACGCTCCTTATTTTTCTCAATAATTTTTTTTTTGCTTGAGCTCTAAGATAGCTATTCATTCTAGTTGATTATTTTTAATTGTGTGATCCTATGCAAGTATATTCTTTGTCTACTGGCCTCCTCTATGTCGTTATTCAAGAACGCCACCTCTTTTATGATTGTCATATCAAAGTATGATAGCTTGTTTGTTCCTATTCCGTGGTAAATCCACACATGTTTATGTTCCAATATAAACTCATAAGTGTCCTATTTGACCTTGGCATAAAACTCGATTATAAAGTAAGCGCCTATGTACCTGATGAGAATTATCATACTCATTGCTTTGTTATTTGCTAAACTGTGAGTAGCATCCTCTCTAGTCAGGATTACATCATGTTATCCCTAATTTCCAAACCATAAAGATCAGCGACTAGCTGTAAACTCTTTTAAATTCGTGTCCTCATTAATAGCGCCCAATTGCCCTCTGATCTACCAATGTGACAACCGATACTCGGATAAACGATACTCCTTCCCCAAAACAATCCTAGCATTATGTTTGGCTTTGCCTATTACAAATAAGTTGCCAGCTACAACTACCTCTTATAATTATATCAAAGATAGGTTTAATTCCATTATACGACACCAAACTTATCACATTACCCAGCATTTTTAGTTGAAACCGAATGTACTATTCATGTATCAGGTACTTCTCTGTCTTTATCTCTTGCGCATACCACTCATGATCCATGTTAACCTCATTCTGCGTGTCCAGGCTGGTGCACTCTGGTAGTCGATTTATCCAATACTCTCCAGGTATATCTTAGCTTGTAATCGTATCCACCGAACTTCCCCCCCTTACACATAGCCAAGTCAATCGTCAGACTAATTAAAAGCCGTACTTAACATTCCTTAAAAGATTTAGCTGAAGTATCCTAGCCGGTTTGGTTTCTCTATGGAAATTTCTCCGTCCGCGACAGAACGTGGGTTGGTACGCTACCTCAGCGCCACATATCTAAGCTTCTATCACAGCATATTGGCTCATCAGGTCGACCGTGGAAAGTATCGACGCTCTGCTCTCTGAGAAACAAGAGAATTCCTTTGCGGTATCGTGTACTCAATCGACCAGCTATTCCTCGGGGCGATATTTATCGCTCTCATGCGCCGCTTTTAGCTTCCCTTCTTCGAAATCCAAAAGAAATTTCCCTAACGGCTTTCCATAGGTCTTCATCTATAATAATAGGACTTTTTCCCTGCAGCAACATAATGACTGAGCGAATCGACTCTGCATCTTTGTTGCGTATTTGTGCCGTATATAATCATGTTCCCTATTCACATGGAAATATCTAAGTCTTCTGGTTCCCACCATTCTTTCACATTACTTTACACAAAACTCTTCCTATATTACTATGACTTGGTTTTGTAATTCTCTGGAATCTAATTAGCTCATACACTACATCCTTTTATTTTATAGCTTGGTAATCGAATCAGATCACCTTCACTACTATACATCTAGGATTCAGATCAAGATACTATATTTTGTCTGCATTTATGTAAAGTTAATGCACTTTACTCTACTTTAGCTCTTATCTATCAGACAATGATCACGCTAAATTTATCTTATTTTTATTTTGTTTATTTTTTAGCCTTATTTAATTTTGGTTGTTTTGTTTAACGTAATATTTATCTACTTCTAACAATTAAGTAAATAATGTAGTGGGTATACCTTGCTATACTAAGCCTTGTCTACTTTTAGAAGTCTCATCTATCACCTCTCTGCAATATCTAACTTCACCTGAAGCCATTTCAATTATTATTTTTCGATAGAATTTCGCCCACAGCAGAGTAGTTCTTTTGCTTGGCATGGCTGGGGGCACTATAAAATCGGTCTCACTCGGCATTACAATATTAGTATAATAGTTCATAATTCAATTTGTCTTTTACTTCTTCATCAAACATTTAGTACTCCAATATATTTTCTATTTATTTTTAGTCTTAGTGCTTACGTATTTAGTGGAGGCATTTTCACTTCGATTTGTGTGCATGTAATATACCTCTTACCTTTTTAGACAGGCATGGTGATATGCAAACTTTGGAAACACCTCCAGCTCATCAAATTCAAGCTCGAGATCCTCCGACAGACTCTTCTTTTGCGACTCCTTTGCGACCCTCATTCTCTGGGTTCAGATTAGCTGGAAGTGGTGGTCCATACATAGATGGAGAAGAAGCGACCGTCCTTGCGGCTCGGCCAGCAACAGTCGGACGCGAAGAAGAGAATGAGGAAGCTGAGGCCTCTGAAGCGGTAGATGCTGAGGATGATGTGTTGCCGCTAGGGTGGGATTCTCGCACTGATCAGAACGGTCGCATCTATTACGTAGATCATGTGAATAAGCGGACATCGTGGGACAAGCCAATTTCGTAAGTATGATACACACAAAATATTTTCCATAAAAATCATCTTTGCAAAACCTCCTCTTAAACTACAGCCCACCAGTATAATCATGATCTCATTTAATTTTAAAAAATTTTTGTAATTCATGTTATTTAACTAGTAAATTGTTCTTAATATATACTCCCTCCTTAATGCTTTTTGTCTTATAAGCCATTTCTACTCTAATTTGGCATCCAGCTTATTATTGTATACGGAATGATATCAATATTGACTTATTTAAAATCTTAAAACTTCTTTATTTGCCCTATATCATTTAGTAAATCTAATTGACTAACTAATTAATTCTTCTAAATATGGATTCCTTATAAATCCTCTTCTTTCATTTTACTCTTAAAGCATCTTTTATATATCCTCTGAAATCCAACTTTGATTTTGTTGCTAGCAAGCTAGATGGAGCACTTAATTTTGTATTCGCAAGCCTGACAACAAAAAGTCTCAACAACTACGTAATTGCATAAACCTATGATTCAAAATTTATTGAATATTAAATATAGGCGCGAAAAATCTTCAGTGTGGCTTAAAATAAATCTTTTATATTTAAGTTTTAGAAACTACCTGGTTTGTTTT